GCCTTGTTTGGTTATTTTTAAAGAGCAGGGAGCAGGGATAGGTGGGGCAGCCATGGGGCGGAGGTGCTGGGAGAGTGGGCAGGGTCAAGGAGCTCATGGCAGAGCCCCCCACACAGCACAGGGTAGTGGGGAGCAGTGGGAATTGCCCCCCTGCCTGGCAGCAGCCGGTGAGTCTGGGGCTTTTTTTTTCAAAGTGCCGGGAGCTGGGGCAGGCGGGCAGCCATTGCCAGGGCTGGGAGACTGGGCAGGGGATGGGGCCTGTGTGATTCGGAGATTTGGCTGATTCAGCAGCAGCCGAATTTCCAAATCAGATTTGGCTGTATTAATTTGGGACAGTGATTCGCATCACCAAATCGAATCATTGTCCCCCGAATCGGCTGAATCCAAATACGAAGCTAATACTAGCTGCTTCACAGAGGCCTACTGCTCTGTGCTCTTGTCCATAGCTAAGACATCCTGGAAATAACACTAAAGTTATTTTAAAACTGAGTTTACGACTGACTCTACCAAGTTAACTAAAGTTCTGCTGTTTGTCTCCGCCTGCTCTTGGGTTTCTCCATCTATACATGGTTACAGCAACTTTATAGGAGGTTTTTCTAATTTTTCTAAAATTATCTCTACAGTAGTGGTGATAATATTTGAGATGCACTAGCCAAGATTCCTCTGCTGTAGTATGAAAAGAACAGCGATATAGAAAGTAACAAGTGTAAAGCAGCAATTAGATCACTAAAAGATTTCACAGAACAACATTTGTTCCACTTACAATCAGTATCATTGGATAATGGTATCGGTGCTGACCCAGCTAATCCACAACTCTGAGAGAAATGGAGGTTTAAAAATCAATGAAAGCTGCCTTGTGTTTTGTTCCCGGGGATAACACTGACTTCAGAATCAGAATCACTGACTTCAGAACAGCTCAACCCTGTTCAGGAGATGATCTGGCTTCCAGTCCAAAATATCAGATTATCTAAATGACCCAGCCCTCTGCAATCCAAAAACCTCTTATTAGCCCAGCCCAACTGTCCTAGGCTTGCTCACTAAATCAAGTTCTTCGGAAGCAATGCCTCTGCTCATTCAATGAGTTAATGCAGTGCTGCTAAAACCTGATTCTCTCCCTGTTAATGGACAGGCGCAGACTCTGTTGTGTTAGTGGCCATGGCTGTTCAGAGCGATTAATGCTGTTTAAGGAAAGCTTGAATTACTGACTAATGGGACATTCACACACACAGTTGTCTTTGCTGTTGCTGGCTGCTTAGCTGCAGTTCGGCTAGTTTACACAGTCTTGGTGGTTTTCTGCTTTGCCCTTTTAGGAACATTCCAAAGCTGCAGGGATTCCCGTCTCCCTTCCAGAGGAGGCAAATCTTACATAGGCAGGCCAGGAGCAAGCCTCCTAAGTGTGGGAAACAGGAGAATCCAACTAAAGACTAGCAAGCATGTAGCCAAATCAGGAATGTAGCCTGCCACAGAGGACCAGAAAAAAAATATCTGCCATTTTATCAAGCTTCTCACTTGATCCCTGCAGCTCCCTGTCACCCTTTCTTCTCGCTTCCCCATGCCCGTATCCCCTCCTCCATGCTTCACACAAATGCACAAAGAATATCTTCACTGATTCCTGCTTTGGGTTCCTCCCCTTACATATTCTTTGCAACATTCACGGCCTGTCAACCCGGGCTGGTAACAAAAGCCGCACTAATTGCAATGTTCATGGAGATAGTTCATCTCTCGCAAGAATAACACACGCCGGCGGGAGTAGCAGGGGCTGCCGTCGGAGCGCCTTTCTTCCTAGTGCCCCACACCTGTCCTTTTTCACAGCTGGATTGCTCAGACCTGGAATCTAATCTCAAGAGAGGGGGACGGGGTTTTGTTTTTTTAAATTTTATCTTCAGAGAAAAACAAACAGGAGGGGCACTCATCGATCTTCAGAGAGAAACATTAGCCAAGCCAAACACATGCTGGGGTCTGAAGCAACAGGATGTCCATGAGGTAATGCTTGGATTCACCTTGCCATCTCCGTTTACACCAAGGACACGCTGAAAAGAAGATGGAGAGTGGCTCTGGCACAGAGCAAAAGGAAACCTGAAAAGTGCATTGGCCAAGACTAGTTACAGATTGGTTTTAGGATTTCAGATTGACAATGGAAACCGGGTGCTGCACTACTATTGATAATCAGTGCTTGCCAATATGGTATTATCCTGGAACCCTCTTAGAAGAACGTCCCTTAATCTATTCATTCATGTGGGCACTTTCAGCAGGCTCACCACTCATATTAAATAGCTTCTGCAATTAGTTAAATTACAGTAGTGACCTGACCAAGCTCAGAAACCCATTCTGATAGGGACCACACAATAGCTGCAGTCAGCAATGACCAAGGGGCTGCCCTCTAAATAGAAAGGTCAGGCAAAATATGAGGAAGTTGAGGGGCTGGATATTGCCACCCTTATTGTACTGTTGGGGAATTGGGACATGGAGAGGTTAAGTGATTTGCCCAAGTTCACAGAGTGGCCCTGTGGTAGAGCTAGGAATGAGGTTCAGATTGCTTAGTACCTTATCTGCAAATACAGTCTTCCTCTTACCTAAACCTATGAGGCTGGATTTTAGATGATTCAGGTCAATGTCTCTTCACCTATAGGGAGAGAACACACAGCACAATTCAGGAGGTAGAGCACAACGATGGTTTTTACCTGGGGAAGTAGCCTTGTGCTCTCCACATATAGTATGCAGAATAATTGTTCCACTGGTTTTTATTTGTCTATTGATTTACATTGGTTAAACTGAATTCTAGTCGTGCTCAGCAAACCAGGAACCCCATGAACCAGTAAACCAGAAGGACCATTTCTGTGTAAGAAAGCACCCAACAAACTGGTAGTGGATGAAGAGTTTCTTTGCAGTTCTGATACAGGCAGTCCTCGGACTTATGACACAATTGGTTCCTGAAAACCGCATCTTAACTGGAAATGCCATAACTCTGAACCGATTTTCCTGTAGAAACAATGTTATAAATGGGAGATTGGTCCCTGAACCAAGGCCCGATACTCTATTTTCACCAAAAATAACCCAGAATTTTGTACTCAATCAATTATAGATGAATGATATACCTACCTTAATGTATTTATATTGTAAATAGCAATCATATTGATTTGGAAGGACTTCTTTGAGGTGACTTTGCTGGACTTTTTGAAAGGCTCTTGGTTGGCCTTTTTGAAGGGTTCTTGGCTGGAGTCTTCTTAGGAGTCTTGTCTGCAGGTTTTTCTGGAGTCTTGTCTGTTTTCTTAAAGAAAGTGTCCAAGAACATTTGGACAGATGTTCTCCAGGGAGATGGGAGACGCAGAGAACTTGTTCACTGCCATGGCGTAGCATCGGATCAAGCGCCATAAAGTCGAACCTGATGTCGGAAAGTCGAAGCAGGGTGTCCCTGTAGTTAGATTTCAAGGTACCATCATTCTTGACAATGATTTTTGCACCTTAAAAGCTGCCCCGTCCCCACCCCTGTAACCTCCAAACCCAACCGTTTGCATGGACAAAATAGAACAAAAGGTACTTAAATAAAAACCCTTAAAAAATCAGGCTGGCACCCTTTCAAGGATGCTTTGTTGTAGAAAATTTTCAGTTTTTCCCACTTCCAGTTGGGCTGTAGATGGTACAAAAACAGTATTGTGACCCTCCTACCTTCGTTAGAGAACCAGGAAGAATAGATGCATGAACATTTTGAAGTCCACAAAAGTGTACAGGTTTTGTTTGAACTGCGGGTTCATTCTAATTTTTGTTTGATCCAAACCATTTTAACCAGTTTAATTCAGAGTATAAACTGCTAGCACAAACCTCAAGAGTTCATTCACTTGTCATATCTTCCATGCTTATTTTGCCTCAGTTTGCAATAGGACTGTTTAATTAATAGGCATTCATTAAGGCTGGATCTTATGTTAATTCATAAAGAGAAAGCAAACAAACCTAATATGACTGTCCGTGCATTGATTAAAACAAATGCTCAAGAGAATACTGTAATTAGGATTCAACACTTACACAGTCTTTACATTAGAGACCTGTCATTTTCTAATGATGTGCCTCATTAACCTCAGGCACTGTGGGCCTGCAATCTCTGCTCAGATACTTTATGATGCTTGAAACCATACTGCAGGTAGGACACACCACATCACCTATGGCAGTACCCTTCCCCAGTACACAATCCATTTTAATTTTTAAGAGTTCTTAGCTATTATTTTAATTCCAAACCCAATGTTTTCCAGATGATGGAAGATGTGCCAGTTTCCAAAAGGGAAATGATTAAGTTTTATATCTAGTGAAAAGTTTCCACTGAAAAAGTTTTTTCAAACGATTTTTTTTCCCCAAAAGGAAATAGCAAATGTTTGCTTCCTTTGAAATACTTTGACTTTTCAGTGAAATAAATCTTTGTTCTGTTTTGTTTCAAATTTTTAAGTCATTACATTTGTTTTTATTTCCTAGACTAAAAACCTAAACTAAAAGTTTTCTTGAACTGAGTTTTTGTTCAAAAAAAGAAAAATTATGAAGTATCTTAATGAGAAAAGTTTAGTTTTGCTCATAGTTCCCTTCCCCCCCCATAGCGTCTTTGTTTGCCCTAACAAATGTCACATTAGGAACATCCCCCACGACGTAACTTATATCTTCTACTTCTAGCTACATGCTGATAAAATATATGCATGCAGTGAGGATCAAGAGGAAAATTAGTTACCCACACCACTTAAGATCTTAACAGACCCTATTCTCACATTATTTTAAAGACATATTTGTGAGAGTAAGGTTTAGGGTTGCATACATGTGACGGACAACATTTTTTAAAGAAAAATTGGCTCTAACAATTGTCATCAAACTTTTGCTAAAAGTGAAACAAAAAAGTTCACTCACCAAAACCCTTTTTCTGATCGGTGCTTAATAACTGTTTAGCTTATACTTCTAACACATTTATTTCAATTTAAAATGGCAAAAAACATTAGAAACACTAGTCCATGTTTGGAGCCTGCAAAAAATAATTCTGTTTTCCTTTTGTGTGAGGGGATGTATGTGCTCACGCTGTAAAAATCAGGGAAACATTCAGGTCTAGTCTCCAAAAAATCAG